TGGTTATTTGGATTGTTTTTAAGCACTAAAACTTACTAATTAGTGAGTTTTCTAACGACAGTAATGTATGAACCCTGCATCACAAAAGGAAAGATTATACAGTGATTTGACTTCATTTATAATGACACAATAAACCAATGCAACGATTGGAACTAGATGAAGTCTTTTGTTCCCTAATTCTGCTCATCAGAGTGCTCTCAGAGAAGCTGTTGATTCCAGGTTGGTGTTGATTGGCAGTGCTTCATGTACTTCAGCTTTAGTGTTTAGGAGAAAAAAAAAGCAATGCCTCAGCACAGTAAAAATTCCTGGCTAAGAAAGGAGAGGTGTTAAAATCTGTAAGGTTTTTTTCCATATCTTTTCCAAATAAGACTACATAATCAAGTCTAAGTTTGGTTTAGATAGGTCTTGGTTTTGCTAGGATAAACAGGAACTAAGAGTTTTCTCTGTGTTTTTCCCCATCCTTGTTTGACTTCTTACATAGTTGAGAAAATGAAGTGTAATATTCTTCTTATTTCAGTAATGGATACTAGCTGAATCCAAACCTGACTGATGTTGCTATTTTAAAGGGCATTGTTTGAACTCCACTAGTGCATGACTTTCCTAATTGTAAATTATTTTTTTAGTGAGAAGCGTATTCTCAGAGAGCCTTCTTTTAAATGCAAAATTAAAATGACCTATTATTGACTGGATCCTGGTGAGATACATCTAGTTGTAATGTGGTGAAAATGTTGAAGTAGTTAGTAAGAGCTAGTTATGGCACAGTAAGATAGTGTGGACCCTCCTGTGCAGAACTTCTCTCCCACACTGAGGCTGTGGCTTTCCTGTAGATGAGCCACTACCAGGTGAGTCCCCCAGAGTTTCTTCTCCCAACGTACCTGTGACTCAGGCACTTTTAAAGTGGAGTACTTCATTCTGGGAGGTGCGTTGGACTGGTAACCTGTTGCCTTTGCAGTGACAAGGTAGTCTAAACCTATTCACTCATGTGACGTCAAGATACATGAGTGTTTCTGCAGTTTCTGGGACAGAGCACCTCAGCTCATTGCAGCACAAAGGAAAGCCATAGCTGCATCCATCCTGGCTGATCTTGACACATCTGTAGAGCTTTACTGGAGCTGCCAGCAAATGCAAGGGTGCATCCTTGCAAGATGAATTAGAGCTTGAGCCTGGTGTTAGGAGAGAAGCAGCAAAGGAAGCAGCAGATTTTTCTGTAGGTTTGAGCAAAATGAGAACCATTATTTACCTTTGCATTGCTTTGAAGTAGTTTGGTTTTTTTAATCTCATGCCTCTGTCACTGACAACTGGAAAGAGTTCTGAAGTTTTGGAATTCTTCAACTTAAAGTACATATTGCAGATCTCTGTTTTAACGTTGTCTGTTTCTTCCTGGCTCTTTCCAATTAGGATATCCACTAGAAGTTGCACGCTAGTTAGTTACATAGCAGAGCTTTCCCTCTGGCTGCTTTTCTGCTTTGTGTAGTAACTTCAATACTATCATTACACTAACTTTTAGAGGTGCTGGTAGCAGAGATTAGTCAGACAGTGAATTCTCATGCGTATTTCAGTCTAGGACCTCATACTTCCTAGTTCATCCCTCTGGGAACTAGCTTTAATATAAATCTATGATCTGTAGATGGTGAAGTAGTTAACGGTGAAGATGTTACTCGTGTATAGATAAGATGCATAACAAGAATGTTGGGTTTTTTACAGTACTGATTAGAGCATCTGATGGAGATCAGGGCTGAATTTGTATGTGGCCTGAAAGTGTACTGTGTTCTAGAGTACACACTAAAGAGACCTGAATAACCAAATAGACTTTTGAAGGGTCAGAGGGACAGCAGCATGGAGGCCTCATCATACTGCCTTGCCTTGTTACATTCCATGTTTATTTAGGCTCTTGTACCATGTTCCATGCCTGCTCCTGCTGTGCTGCTTTTCAACTTGCTTACAGTTAAGGTGAAGAATTTTGTGTTGTGCCATAATACCCAAATTAGAAAAACTGGTTAGTGGAACAGTTCCACTTGCATCAGTGTACTAATTCTGCATAATATTCAGTAACAGGTTTATTTACCTGCTATCCTAAAATACTGTGTTTAGATGCTTCTGCATAGAAGTGAAGAAAATGGAAAAAGTAAGTTGAAAGAGTAATGTTATAGTATATATTTCAATGTAGTGTTTGAAGTAGTGTGTACTTCAAGTAAAGTTTAGTGTTAAAATGGAACTTTAAATCTCTGTGATCAAATTTAGTGAAGAGACTTTCGAAACGTAAAATACTTGGTAAGTGGAGTTATTTTTCACAGGATTACATTTGAAACTCCTAGTATAGTCACTTAGGCAGTGTATGGCTATCAATCATCATCCTTGTTTTCAGAGAAGATTGGGTAAGTGGAGTAATCTCATTTTGTCAAGGTGTGAATTCCCTCCCTTGGGAACTGCGGTTTGAGGCAACAAGCTAAGAAAAACCAGTTACCCGGGAAATACAGCGCAGAAGTTGCAGGGGTTTGTAGGTGGCTCAGTGAAGTGGGGAATGGGTTCCTCGTGTTGTCTGTGTCACTGGTGTATGTGTGACTTTGGTCACAAGGCAGAATTACCACTGTTTGACTTCCTCTGCCATTATAAAATTTGTTTTTCTGATGCACTACTAGGGGTAGAATTAATGACTGTGAATGGCACACAGTAGGTGGTATTATGCACCCTTTCTTTTGTAATTTCAGCACAAAAATGGGAGGCCAGGGAAGCTTGAATCTATCTAGAAGATGTTGAATCTTTTATTGACCATAAGTAATAGTTTAAATGAGTGGGATTTTTAATCCATTAATTTTATTGCCTCTTCGCTGTAATACAGGAGGAAGGGGGGAGGGGAGGGGGGGGAAGGTTTTACTCCAATGTATAGAAAACAGAGTTCTAAACTTCCCTAATGGCATTTTCTGCAAAGCTTTATTTGGGGAATTCTTTTAAAGTAGGTACATGCTCATTGCAAGTGCACATACGGTTTTTACAACTGAAATGAAGTTTTATGTGTGCTTCTTAGAATGAAGTAGGTAGTCACAATCTAGTATCAATTGTAGTGTTTGCACTCTCCCCTTCCCCTCTCCCCCTCCCCAATTTTACTAGTCTTATTCACGAAGAGCATTTAGTTTTTATCTTCAGCTCTTTTCAGCAAAGGGCTGAATTGCACTTCACCAGAATTGCAGAACAGGCTTTTTACCTCTTCCAGAAAGCTTATGGGATCTACTCTGAAGTTTCACTCCAAAGGAAGACTTTGGAGGAAGTTGGTTTTACTTATTTTATAACATCTTTTCTAGAACTTCTGACTGTTCAGTAGCTGGTCTTTCAAGTTCATTATCTTGCAAAAGGGGACTGGGAACAGAAACATCTACAAGTACAAACTAATTATTTTCACAGGACTAGGAAAGATTAGAGCAACTCCTCAAAGTTTAGGAAGTAATTGTACAGCTGGCTCTGTGTGGAGGAAGCATGTAGCTGAGCATTTTCAAAGATAATGCATTCAAATTATTTCTTTTTTACAATGGAAGGGAACAGGCAAAACTGTCTAGTTGGAAAACAACTTATTTTCCTTTTTTTTTTTAATGTTGAAAGAATGATAAGCTTCATCAAACTGGATGCTTCTGTGAAGCCCATGTTCAATACCTACCACAATGGTATGAATAATGCTGTGAGGCCTCCAGGTGATGTTGTTATAAAAATAGTTACTGTGATGCCTGTTGCATCTTTTTAACTGGAAGATGAGACATCTTTGCACTTCAGAGCAGCAGGGGATACAGTTTCCAAACTGCGCTTATTCTGAATACTAAATAACAGATTTAATTGTAAATTTCCATGTAGAAATTAATCAGAAGGAGATGGTTGAGAGAACATGTGGTGCTGCTTGTACTTGTTTATCTGAAGAGGTGTTAGTGGCAGAACAGCGCACTTGTAAGAATTTCAAGTAGTTAGACTGTATTATTTGCTGCATGTGAAGTGAATTGTGTCAAATGTGGTAGTACTAGCCAAGACAATGATCTGTTCAGAAGTAAACAGTGCATTGGAACAGAACACTGCAGATAACCAGTAGTATTTTTGCTACAGAGCTCTCAATCAACTGGGTTTTTTTTAATTGCAGGTTTTTCTCCTAAAAATGTAGAGCTGTAAGCAAATAGTGATTTTTTTTGTTTGTTTGTTTTGGGTTTTTTTAAAAAAAGCTGTTGGTTTGGGGGTTTTTGGTTTGTAAATAATGGAAACCTCTATACTACAGTGAGTTTTTTGTTTGTTTTTTTTTTTTTAAGAATAATCAGTATTACATGGGAGCATTTAATTTCTTTAGTTTTCCTCTTAATTTTTATTGTAAGATGGAAAAAATCCACCTTGGATTATATTTTTTGGGATGGTGGAAGCCCTTTTCATCTGCATAAACTGCAGTCTTGGCCATCAAACTGCCTATGGCCAGTTAACCCACAGGAAGGGAGTCTGTCATACAGCAGCTCCTACATTACTCTGCTTCCTTCCTCCCTCTTTTCTGCTGATGCCAAATGCAAAGTGGGAGAAAAAGGGTACATGGCAGCAGCCACAGGTGCTATTCCTGATTTCTGGCTGCCATTTTGGCAATCGTAATTTATTCAAGACGGGTTTCCAACTCTGCCTCATGACTTTCATTGCATGTATCCTGGCTGGGGCAGTGAAGCTGACTGAGTATTGTTCATGTTGTCCGTTTATAACTCCATTAACAGGTGAAGAACACTTGGTAGAACTTGTTGCATTGTAGCTAGTGCAGTGAATGAAGGAAGAAGTTGGCAATCTGCTTTAAGAAACAAGTGATAGCTCTGTCTCTTTTTAAAGTAATAAAACCACTGTGAGAATTGCTGTTCAGCTGTGGTGGTGTAGCCCAAATTCTGGCTTATGGGAAACACCTCTGAGAAGATATTTTTAAGTTAACCATAGGAAGTACAATCCTTAGAGATAACTTTAAGAAAACGTTTTATTAACAGTATTTTTTTTTTTGTTCCAACAGAACAAAGGTTCGCTTCAGTTTGAAGACAAATGGGATTTCATGCGCCCTATCGTTCTGAAACTTCTTCGTCAGGAGTCTGTCACAAAACAGCAATGGTTTGATCTGTTTTCGTAAGTAATTTTTCAGTATCTGTCATCCTTCTGCATAAAAGGAATACAGTTATGGTGGTACTTCTGATACAGAAGTTATGCGTGGCATGGACTATGTGGGAACACACAGAACAAAACCATGAGTTTAAGTTTTATTAAGTGGTAAGCATCACTATAAATGTGCAAAAGCAGAGTTTTGCTGAGATTCAGATCCTTGCAAACAGCTTGGAGAAAGAACAGCAGAGCTCTTGACTTAAGCTGATCATAGTAAACAAGTTTTGTACTTACCCACAAACCTTTTGTTAGAATTAGAAAATGTTGTTTACTGCTTCAGCAGTAAGTTCATTTAAAGGCAGTTTGCTGAATGTCACATTATTCTGATTTGAATGGCTTTCTTCTAAAATAACTTAAGAATGCTACTGAAGTAGCAGGGCAATGCAGTTTAACTGGTATAATTTGAATAGTCTTATACCCTAAGAATAATTTATGTAATATTTTTCAGACAGTGTTTGTATTATTGTACTTTCTAAAACCCCTGTCATTTTCCTTCTTCCAAAAAGCCAGAAGTTGCTTCCTGATTTTTTTCTTACAATACATCGTGTGACCTTTGCCAACATAATATGGAAATTAACAACATATGTTGAAAGTATATCTAAAATAATCTGTGTCTCAACATAGTTACTTTCCCTCAGATACGATTGTAGCTTAAATCTGCAGCCTCTCCTTCTGCTTCTTAGAATCTGTCACAAAAGTGTTTTTTATTCAAACACAGTCTGTTGCAGTCAGTATCTTTATTGCTCTTTTTGATGAGGACAGTGCAGTGATTCTTTTTACACCCATCCTACTGCACCAGTCACGCTTCTCTGCCAACCAAAAGGAAAAGTAGTTTATCATGTAATGAGTTTTAATATCTTATGATGTGTCAGCTATAGTAGTTGCCAGGTACATGGTATATTTCAGGAACAAATTCAGACCTGAGCCATTGCTTTCATTTTTAATAACTACTTCAATAATTCTGCTTCGGTAATGAAATTTTCAGTTTATTTTTCTTGTAGCTGAACTATTCAGTAGAACTTAAATAACTCTATGGCAGAATTAAGGATAGTGAAGGAAAGGATCACACTCTCCCAGGTTCATATTTTTGGACAGTGGTCTTTGTTAATCCCTTTAATAAAAATTCAAAATCGGTAGGTGTCTTCTACCTGCCCTTTGAGTATTATTACCCCGTATTGCTTTTTCCACTCCTGTCAGGAAACAGTGGCATTCTAAATACAGTAACACCTTCTTCTGCATGTGAACGTTGCATGAGCCTCACAATTTAGGTAGACCTCTGTAAATCCTGGGCCAGCACCTTTAATCTATGGTAAAGGAACTTTTTACCTTGTAAGTTTTGTCTTTTCAGTTAAACTAAAAAAGCTGCTTTTGGATTGAAATAACTGTATTGATTTAATAGGAACAAAGTTAAGCCTTTAAATTATGTAGTTGCTTTTCTGCAAAGACATGGCCTTATTATTGAAAGGAAGAATAAAAACCAGAGGAAGGTAATGAGTCAAGAAATGGCTTGCTAGGCCACATTTTCTATTGTGTATGGTTAGGAGTGTAGCTTGCTTTATTTAGTCTTTAGTATGAAAAGAAAGTAGGAATTAAGTTACTCTTGCTGGGCTGTAAGGTAGGAAAATATTATTTGTATGTTGGTTAAAACTCATCAATAGAATTTTGATATGCGATGCTGTTTGGGAGTTCTTCTGCAGTAGGTTTCCACTTTAAAATGCTATCACTGTCATTAAACGTTTCAGTGATCGTATTAAACTAATTAAAACATCTCTTAAATTACCTGATGCCCCTGAGCTCAGATTTCTTATATGGAAGGTCTGTTTCCTTTGTAGCACAAGAATGATATTGTGCTTGGATTGTAAAAGTGTGAGTGAAGGCTGCATGGTAATGAGAGTGTTTTAGAATAATACAAGCTGAGTAGTAATGCTTCTACTGGCAAGTAGTTTCTGTCTTTGTCAAAGAAAAGCTTTAACAATTGTCCTTAATGTAATAAGGAATATTGAATGTATACTGAAACCAGAATTGGTTTCTACATCTCTTTTGTGACCATACTGTTTCCTAGATAGGTTGCTGCTACTTGGTTCGAAGACTTTCTTACAGCTTCAGTCTCTTCCCCAAACATGTTTCCTAGCACATGTCACTGGGAAGTAACTGTGTGGTTTTTAACAATGGTAGATTCAAACTCTATTAATCTCTTAGACATAGTGAAATTATGGCTGTTTAAACCTCATGCACTACAGCGTTAAACTTGGAGTAGCTGTTACTAAAAGATGGATAAATTGTTTTCTAGAGATGTACATGCAGTTTGCTTGTGGGATGATAAAGGTCCAGCAAAAATCCATCAGGCTCTGAAGGAAGACATCCTTGATTTTATTAAACAGGCACAAGCAGTAAGTACTTAACGTTTCATAACTTCTATTCATATTGTTAGAAAAATAACCAAATAGTTTTGACTTTCATTGGATCTAGCTTTTTTGTTTGAAATTCGGTGATGTCCTGGAGATCTTTAATTACTGTGATCTTCTATTGGCATAAATAAGACTTAGCCTTGAGCATTTGCCTTGGCTCATTGTTTTCTCGCAGTCCTTGAAACTGGGGTGGGTAGTGATTTTTGTGGTATACTAAAAAACCAAAACAAAAAAACCCAAACCCCAGCATTATTTTTGTTTATTCAACTGTACTTATGGTATCTTCATCCACTTGAAAAGTTCTCGAGGCAGAATTTTATATAAGAAATTACTGTCTGATAAAGAAATGTTGTTTGTCTAGCTTCAGTGCAGTGCTGACATGTTCATGGATGGCTTTAAAATAAGCTGTATGTGTAGTGTACTAGAAATAGCCCTGCTATCGACTCAGCAAGCTGAGCTGTCCAGTTTTATGGGCTTCCCCTCAAACAGTTGAAGTTGTCAATAGATTCCAAGGAAATGTTTCTGTTTGTAACAAGTAGAACAAAAGATGTTTTCTGTAATAAGGGATTTAAGAGGGGGTTGTTGAGGAAAAAAAAATAATTAAACAAAAAACCAAAAAAACATCTCATGACAAGGGTTTGGAAAGGAAAAAAATGAAAGTCTGTAAAATCTTTAGTGAAGAGACACCACTAAGGCTTTGCTTAGAGGAAAATAGTTTCTTACAGAGGCCTTTGTATAACCAGGTTTATAAATGATGATTTTTAAGTTCCATCAGCTTGCCTACATACGTTAATGCTATGCTGAACTGAGGCCTTTGACATGGTCTGTGTTGGCTGTTGAGAGGCATCTTTTTAGGCATTATGATAGCCATTGTACAGTGTATTTGTAGTTTCCAGGCTTTAATAAAATACACATGTTAATAGCTGTCTGGCTGTAATGAAAGGTTTGTAGGTGCCATTGAAGTAAACTTTTCACTGTATAGAACATAATGTAGTCCTTACAAGTTTCTTATTGTTTTGTAGATACGGCTGTACCAGGACATATTTTTAGGCCAAAGGTTTTAATCTTTTTGACCTACAGATGGCTTAAAAATAAAAAACGAAAAAAACCAAAAAACCAGGTTCATTTAGAAAATTTAAACTTACTGACTACTTACTTGCTGTTACCTTTCTTTACCCTTTAAAAATGGTCCGTATGGCATCGGTTGATAACTGCTTCCCAGAACTAAATGGCACTTGAATATGTATACTTGTTTATTCTGATATATCTGTACATTTGAGTTTTATCTGGGGAGTCATTTCCATTATAAGCAAAGTCAGTCTGTATTTTATGCAGAAATTTGTTTATAAATTCCCTACTCTTCTCCCCTCTCCTCCAGAGAGTGCTGAGTCATCAAGATGATACAGCTTTACTAAAAGCATATATAGTGGAGTGGCGCAAGTTCTTCACACAGTGTGATATTTTGCCCAAGCCATTTTGTCAGTTAGAGATTACTTTAATGGGCAAGCAGGGCAGCAACAAGAAGTCTAATGTAGAAGACAGTATTGTTCGAAAGGTAAGTGATAGGGGTAAGAAGAGTTTTGTTGCACACTGTTCTGCTTACAGTAATAGTACAGAAGGGATTCTGTAGCTGAAGATGAATTATGGAATATGATGTATCACTTTGCTTCAGTGTGAGGGTCAAAACAACCCTGCAACTCTTCTCTCCACAATGGTTTCACTCTGTTTCTCCAGTTCTACTTTGGCTATTAACAGTTTTGTTCAGGTGATTGAAGCACTTCTTTACTGGGCTTTGGGTTTGTTTGGGAGCTTGCTCGGGGTTTTTTGGTTTTGTCTTTGGTTTTGTTCTTTTGCTTGTTTTTAATTATGACCTGAGATGGGAGGCAGTTGTAAATTCATCTACTGTTTCTACACTTGTGAGTAGCAAGTACTTGTATGTATAAGCAATTAGGTTTTCTACTCCTGTTTTATTTCCTGGGGCCAAGATCTTAACTGGGGCACATCTCTGCACTTCATAAATGACCAATCAAATGCTGTCACCTTAAGTTAAATATAGCTATTGATCTCTTAATTTCCTCTTTTTTCTCCAAGCTGTCAGTCAAATCAATGAAAAGATTGGGCATGTAGAATCTTCTCAATATCATCTTTTTACTATTTCATATCCACATTAAAGAAGTCTAGGGTTTTGAGTATGAAGTGCTCAGTTCCGTGAGTCCCATGAATAATGGTCCTTGAATTTGCTTTACTCTTTTATTATAAGAAAAACAGAGCACATCAGTTGTAAAGTGTTAAGTCGTTTAGTTTAACGTCATTCATTATCCCTTTCCATTGCAGACAGTATCTGCAGGGAAATGAAATTTTTTTAACAATCTTTCATTTGGTTCTGAAAAGCATCTCAACTGTCTCCCTGTCTCCAGGATGGGAAGAACAAAACAGTTCGAGTGCATTACTTTGGGCAAGGTTTTTTTTCTTCGCCTTTGTATTTTGACATCTGATCCTTTATTCCTCTTGAAGAAAAAGAAGCGAGAATAGCAGCAAAGAGAGACTCTCTACTTCAACTTAGCTTTTTTGTTTCCATTGTTTGTTGGAGAAAGCATGTGAAAAGTTACTTGATTACTGAGAACCATAGGAATAATACGGAATTATGGAATTAATATATGAATCAAATACTGATTCTCTTGGCTGTCCAGTTACATTAAGTAAGCTTAGAATGTAAGCTGAACATTACTTCCATAACAAGTTCAGAGCAAGATCAAATTCTAAGGTAGTTGAACTGCTGTATATAACCTGAGAATTGCATTATAAATTGCTTGATTTCTGTTTCTGCTCCCCTGTATTTCTCTTGCACGAACTTGGATCTACCTGTACCTTTCTGACAGTATTTTCTCCTTCTTCCCGATACGCAGCTCATGCTAGATACGTGGAATGAATCCATATTTTCAAATATAAAAAACAGACTTCAGGACAGTGCAATGAAGCTAGTTCATGCTGAAAGACTAGGAGAAGCTTTTGACTCTCAGCTCGTTATTGGAGTTCGAGAATCATATGGTATGTCATGCACAGACCCATCTCTGTCGCCTCCTCACTGTAGTAAATGAGTTTTCATCATGCAAAGTTGACAGTTGTGGTGGTAGGGTTGGGATGTATTGATGTTGATATGTGATACCACTTAAATTCGGTTTAAAATCTTGAACTTCAAAGTGATTTAGCTGTGTATCAGTTACTGCAAAATGGGTGTTTTCAAAGAGCAAACTATTACTTGAATTTTTGGGTTTGCAAATAAAACTTTGTGCTCCTTTCTGTACTGTTTCTGATTCTTCAGGCAGTTTGAAGAAGAAATGCTAAACAGGCTGCATCTAAGTCTTTCTTCTTTGAAAAACAGATCTGTGTATCTGAAACTTCTGTGACATTTCACCATTGCCTGCTGCTTCTTTACCACTTTGCAGCCTGTTGAATTAAACTTGTGGCTAATACTCTCTCAGATGGTTTTATAGTGTCCAATTCTAGCTTACTTTTTAAAATATATTCCTTTTAAGGACTTTTATTTATTCCTCTGTAACAGTTGACAGGAAGGGGAAAACTTTTTTCCAAATAGTGCCTAGCACTGCAGTCGGCTCACTGTCAATATTCTTGTAAAAGAGGGAAAAAATACCCTAAGACATTGGGAATCTAAGATCAACGTCTAAGAAAAGCTGTTTGCTCAGCTAGGTGGAGAGTTCTCTCTTCATTAGGCATTATGCTGAGCTGCCTTTATTTGTTTCTTTTTTTCCTTCCTATTTTGCAGTTGTATGTGTATTTTTGGTTACCATGTTTGAATGTCTCTAGTACTGGAGATAAGTATGAAGTTCTCTCCAGTTCTTTATAGTTAATCTAAATCTTTTTAGAGCGAGGACTGGGCAATTATGGTTACCTTTAGGGGTCTGAATGCATTTATAGGGTACTTGATATTGTTCAGTGCAGCCTTTTAATACAAGACTCACTTTAATGAGAGAGATTTGCTTATTATTAGCCACTTAAGTTTCCAAGATTTGAAAGTAAGTTTGGACTTTCTCTTTGCAGTTAACCTTTGTTCCAATCCCGAAGATAAACTTCAGATATATCGGGATAACTTTGAAAAGGCGTATTTGGATTCAACAGAGAGATTTTATAGAACACAGGCTCCTTCTTATTTACAACAAAACGGTGTACAGAATTATATGAAATATGTAAGTAAAACTTCTGCTGTAACTTTATTCTGCAAGTGTTAGTACCTAAAATGATTGCTGTTCTACTTTTGCACAGGCAGATGCTAAACTAAAAGAAGAAGAGAAAAGAGCACTACGATACTTAGAAACAAGGCGTGAATGTAACTCGGTAGAAGCAGTAAGTATAACGTGCTGAAAACTTTTGATATATTTGATATAGTGTTACTACACTGCAGGTTTTATTTTTGTGTGTTAAAGTATTATTCAGTAGCAGTAGATTGATGTGAAACTATTGATTTTATGTTTTCTAAGAATCCAGTATTTTTCCCTGCAAAAATCTGTATTCCTTTCCAATCTGGCAATTTAAAATTTCTGCAGATGTTTTAATAGTAAATGTAGATCGAGAGATCAGATTGAAGGGCAGGTTTTTAGTTAGGTTGATTTTTATTCTTTCATTTTGAGTCAGGTATGGTTTTATTTTTTTCCTACACTTAACAGTGGATGAGAATATTTGAAAATCAGTTGGCTAATCTGTTAGGTAAAGGACTTCTCAGTGCTCATTTAGAACACCTGAAAGAGTTACTGTTCATTGCAGTCAAAAGGAGCAGTAGAAGTTTTAATGAAACTTCTGTAGCTTTCCTCTTAGGCTGGAATATGTCCATTTAGTTTAAAGGATGTTTCTTCTTTTTTTCCTTCTTCCCCTTGAACAATATTTTACACAGTTCAGATTCTGGAGGAAGATTTAACTGAAATGAATAGTTCATAGTAGTCTGTGTTGAAATTAGTTCAGGAAACAGTTTATTTTAAGTACCCTTTAAATCTGATTTTTTTTTTTGTGGTGGGTCAAAATGTATTTTATGTCTTATGTTATAGATCATTCATTTTGAACAGCTATAAATTGTGACCCATATCAAGAGGCTGACAAAAGAGAGATGGTCCTGACGTGTACAAGCAGTTTCTGTTCTAGGTCTAGCCATAGTGTCTTGTTCAAGCAAACCAGCCTGGTCCAAATAGGGTATGCTGGAATGAGAACTATTCTTAGCTCTTGGATGTATACTTGGAAACTAAGTAGGGTAGTTGGTGTTCCAAAAGTGGTGGCTCCCTTGAGAGAAAAGAAACAACAGAAATACTAAACTCATTACTGGTTTGGGAGGGAGTTTACCATGTTTACTAGCTTATATATGTTGAAGAAATATGGTTTCCTGTATAGATTTTATTCAAACTACACAGACATTTATGAATCAGTGAATGAATGAATTATTTTATAGAGCACAGTTGTTGGGAACAGGCAAGATTTTGTGTCATGGCAGACTTCAGAGAGATCAGACTTTGGTGGTCAGATGGCTAATGGAGCTAATTCTGTGTTTAATGTATTTCAGCTAATGGAGTGCTGCGTCAATGCCCTGGTGACATCTTTTAAGGAGACTATTTTAGCTGAATGCCAAGGCATGATCAAACGAAATGAAACAGAAAGTAAGTGAAGCTTCAAGACCAGTGCAGGATGAATTCAGCATCCACTGTGTAAAAATAGATTTGTTTGTAGATATATCAAATTGCTGTTTTTAATAGATGGTGACAGTGTTTCGTAGACAAAATATTACTGTGTGTGGGCAATTTTATCCTACCAAAAAATAAGACCATCATTGGTTAGTATTTTTATATATATATATGACTTCTGAAATCTGTATGTACAATACCCTGATTTGAATGACTGGATGGCTCTCATCTTACTTGAAAGAAAAGAGTATTTTAGGTTGTTTAATTTAGTTTTCTTACAGCTTATTTTCGTCAGGTTGAACAACTCTGTTAAATGTTGCATATGTCTTCTTTTTAAATGAATAGTTCAGATACAAACACTGCCTCTTATTTCTACCCCCACATCCCCCTTTCCCTCAAAAAAGTGAAGCATCTTTTTGCAAAGCTGTTTGTCTGAAAAGCAGGGAGAAAATTTTCTTATTCTGATTATTTGTGCAGGATCAACAGGTCAATGAACAAAAACTGCAAGTTTTTAACCTGGTTTTATAGCCAGTATGTCACTGTGAGTGTTGAAAGCTAGCTCTGCATGCCTTGGTAAAATTTCAAGGATTTTTTAACTCTGCTTCCATAACAGAGGTTAGTGTGATTCAGAAGTCTTGTGTTGGTCCTGTATGATAAGCCAAAGTAGATAAATCATTAAATTGTCATAATTCAAGTAGGGAAACTAAAAACAAACAAAAAAAGATGAATTACAGGTTTTGGGATTGATTTTTTTCTTTTTCCTTTTTTTTTTTTTAAGTATTCTGCAGCCAGAGAATATTTACTAATGTCTATATGAAGTTTTCATTTCTGTGCAAATATGAAAACTATTTTATGACTGAGAACAGTGTAGAAAACACTTCTAAAGCTAGCATTTCAGAAAATATTTGACCTCAAAACTATGTCCTACTGATCTGTTCATCTAGCAGCGTGATTTCTGGCAGTAGTCCAGAGCTAAATCTAGAAAGCCACCAAACTTACGAGTATATGTTACAGCCTTTGGGAGAATACAGGAGGCTTATTGAAATGCACAGCTTCAGAAAGGTTTGTCTCTGTAGCATCCAAAACATCTATCTTTAGAAAATATTTGACCTCAAAACTATGTCCTACTGATCTGTTCATCTAGCAGCGTGATTTCTGGCAGTAGTCCAGAGCTAAATCTAGAAAGCCACCAAACTTACGAGTATATGTTACAGCCTTTGGGAGAATACAGGAGGCTTATTGAAATGCACAGCTTCAGAAAGGTTTGTCTCTGTAGCATCCAAAACATCTATCTTTAGAAAC